TAGACAGAGAACAACAACAATGCTCTGGGAGATCCAGAGAAAGGGCCCATCTGTCTTGCTTTTGAGGATGATTAGGGACACTATTTGATTTGGCTAGCATGGAAAATGGCACAGAATGGCAATGCTGAGGCTGACAGCTTGGCACTCGTGAGGAAGAGGGAGGAGCAAAAAGGTGATGAACTGAAATCACAGCCTCTCCTCCAATGACCAGAATAAAACCCACAGCTGGACACAGCCCATACACAGGCAAGAAATAAGCCTGGCTGTTCCTGAAATGCTGAAAAGTCCCATATGTTCAGCTCCTGATGCACCCCATCACAGCCTTGTCTCTCCCCCTGCAACCAGGGCCCCATCCTGCTGCTCCTGGACACTTGCCTTTCCCTCATGCCAGGTTGAAATGCTCCCAGCCAGTTTTTATTGCTTCTCTGTAGAAGTGACCTCATTTTCTGTATTTACACCTTACTCAGTCCATAAGTAACTAGCAATTATTGGACAGTTTCAACCTCATATTGGTTTCTTTTTCAATTTTTAATGGAGACATTGAATGTTGTCAAGTCGGATTCATTATTGAGGGAATACTTTATATCACCATCAGCAATGAACCATGTGCTGCAATCAAAAACATCAATGTGATTTATTTTAATTATATTTCCTGTAATTTTTTATTCACCGAGTCATTTATCAGCGCCTCTACTTCTTTTGCCAAGAATCAATTGCAAGCTGTAAATCAGTAACAGCATTTGTCTTAGAAATTCTTGGCTCTCTAAATTTGCCTTTTTAAAATACTGGCACAGTGCCAGCTCTTTTCCAATCTTCTGCAACTTCCTCAGCACCTCTGTGTAACTAGAAATAATGAGGGCTTAAAGAGCTCTGTGGCCATGTCCTAAATTCGATGAAATGCTGGCAATGTCATGATTTTCATGCCAGGATGTATCCCAGTGGGGATGCTAATTTTGTCATGGATGTTTCACCCCACTGTTCTTACATGGAGCATTCATGGTGCCTGTATCATGTTCCCCATGACTTTGGTGGAGCCTCAGGGTGATGCTCTACCAGTGATGGTAAAAAAAGGGGTCCAAGAGCTCAAACCACTGCCTTGCAAAAATCACTTTGACACTTTGTCAGTCACACCTCACCGCTGCGATCGCTGGAAGGAGTAGTCATTAATTACCTTTGTCAGGTGAAATTTCTTTAATTACCTGCAATTCTACTTCCAGGAAACTCCCACTTTCAGCTGCTGCTGCCAGTCCAAAGGAAACATCTCCTAGCAGTAATTTTTTTGAAAATCCCTGAAAAATTACCAGGGGATGAAGTCATGTGTGCCTCACCTCTGGCTGTGTAGGGCCAGTGCATGTCCTGAGTCACCTGCGGTGGCAAGAAGAGAGCCCAACAGGAGGAAGGTGGTTAGACAAGCTGTCATGTAATCCGTGGACATTCTTCAATGACCTTTTCTTTCTTCTCTAAAAAGTAAAAAGAACCCAGAGCAGACTGCCCAGTAAGCTGCTGCTCCTTGAGCCCTGACAGCACGTGCTCAGCATGGCGAGGAGACGCTCAGCAGCAGCTGGAATTCAGCACACACTGCCCTCGCTAACCAGCTCCCATACAGATGTTCCTTGGATTGTCAGGGCATTGAGAGGGAGCTAAATTAATTGTAAGTGGGAGCAGGTTAGTTAAATCTGTTCTGGAATCATTATATAGCCATTAAACTGCCTACAAAAATCAGTAATAGTGGGTAATAACATTCTTCCTAGGAATTAAATAGAAGCTCAATTTATAATGCTGCTCAGCATTCAAACCAGAGTGCTCCACCTTCCTGGTACATGATAAACATTTAGTAATTAATCCTCACAAAGCCTTGGTGAGGCAGATCTCTTCACACCACTGATTCTGTGTATAAATGGGAACAAGAAGGTACAAGATGCCTCCTTTGAAGCTGTGGTTGCCTATGTCTTCAAACATGATTTGCATCTCTGGGAGCCCACTCAGCATCTGTGTTTGAATAATGAGAGGTTTGTAAAAAGCCTCAGAGCCTGGATCAGATGTCCAGGTCTCTTTGTGCCACTTCCCTGTGCTGACATCATTGTGGCATGTTTCAGTATGATTCTGCAGTGCAACTTCTAGAATAAAGATATTTTCCCTGCCTGGTCATATTGCATTGCAGGAATGATCTTCAGAATGAAAGCTCATGGTGTTGGGTCTCAAGTATGAGCTGCAGGAATTGGACAACACAAAAGCTGCTAATTTTGTCAAGATTTAAAAGAAAAAATCTTATGACCAACTGGAAGCTGTTTCTTTCCAGAAAATGATTGTATCAGATGTAGCCTGTCAAATAAATGTAAGTGTAATTTACACCAGGGTGATGGAATACTCATGACTACAGGCAAATTGGAATTACCTAGTGTCACTTCAAAATGATCTCCTGTCTCCCTGTCACTGTTTAAGGCACAGCATGAATAAACAGAGGGTGTAATGAAAGGCAGCTTCACCCCAGCACCCAACTGCAACTAAAGTAGGGAATTTCCCACTGATTTCAGTTTAACTTTTGCCTGCTCACAATGGACATTAACTTGAGTTTGCAGCTGATTCCACACCCTGCACAAGGACCCTACAGAACAGAGACAAGAGAATCTGCAATACTCATCAAAGAGCAAATAAAAATGGCATGGACACAGCTGGGACTTGGGGTTGTGCAGACATGATGTTAAGTGTGAAAATGGGGATCTAAGGTCCAACTTCCCAGGTAATCCATGCTTTACAGTTTAAAGACTCTGGGAGCCTAAGAAGTAGTCTTCTACTTTCAGGCACCACCAAGCTTAGCTAAGTTTCAGCTTGAACATGGAAGCATTTTTTCCAAGTCATTTTTGGCTAAACAACCCTTGGCACAACAAAATCAGCAGCTTTTAAATGGAACAACTCAACATCAGTGATGGACTGTTCAGAGAAAGCAGCACAATCTTTATATATCCAGTAAAAAAAAGCAGATAAAGAGTTTATTACAATTTTTGATACATCTGAGATGTCACTAATAATATTTTATGTAACAAAGAAAGAAAATGCTCTTTACTAGTTGGAAAGATTGGCCCACGGTTAGGGGGAAGGTCAGAGCCTCTTTCATGGGAGTTAGAAGATTACTCCTGTCCCACCCATCTTCTCCTTGAATTAATTAACATTAAAAATATGCTTTTACTAGACATGCCACATAAAAATCTGATTAATTTTAAATCACTGAAAATTTTCTTCTTTGCTTTCAATGAGGGCAAGGTTTTACCCAATATTTCTAACAGACTATTATAGGATGGTATTAAGGAAGATGTCAAGGGCTATCCTATTTCTCTTCTTGCCAAAATGCAGGATCAACTACATCCATGTCAGTGCTGATGGATATTTGTCTAACTGGTCCTGAAAGGGCTGCAACATTTTAATAGCACCTTGACCTCTGCTTCCATTTTCACCTGCCGAGACACAGCAAAAGAAAAACAGCTTTTATTGCCAACTCTGCCAGGATTTCTGACTGGTTTAAAGGACCAGTGACAATTTTAACATCTGATGTCTCACAATCTACAGATAGAAATTAATACTACCCAACCCCAGGGAGCTTTACCATCATTTATTGACATCTTTCCCTTTTATCTCTTCTTGAGATATGGAATCGGGTAGTTCTGATTTTCGTCTTGTACTTTTTCACCATTTAAATTGTGGTCTGATTTCAGTGGCTGTCCCAGAACCAAGTTAAAACTAATACTTTCCTTTATCTGCAGACCTGTCAGTCCTTCAGTAGGGCAGTATGAAGTGTGTAACTTTAATTCTAGGAGTGAAATGCCAACTATCATAATTAAGTTGGCAATATGGAAAGGCAGGGAAGCAACAGAGCAGTAACAACCACTCAGGATGAAGCCTTAAAGGGATGGGGAGAGAAGGACAGGTGGGCAAAAAAATAAATATTGAGGTCTGGTCCTTGCAGAAGAGAAGCTCCATGGTTTGATTATGCTTCCAGAAAGAAATATCACCTGTCATTAACTGCCCTTCACCTGTAAACCAGTGCTCATGGAAACAAAGTGGGGTTTTTGCTTTGGTTTCAAGTTCTGGATTGCATTCAGAAATAGTAAAACACAGCTCCTCATTGAAAGGTAACTCGAAATACACCCCTTGCATCCCCTGAAACTACAGGAAATCTGCCCACAGCTGCTCAAAATACATTAATGTTTTAAAATGGGAAACAACAGGCACGAAGATTAGCATTTACAGCTGGTATTTCTGAACATAAAGGTCTGAGGCAGATGCTCACACGTAGCAGCTGGGGAGCGAGAGGCAAGTTTCCCATGCATTCTCTCTCATTCCAGCATACACCATGCATTAAGCTTTCACAAAAAATTTGTTTTAAAAAAAAACAAAACAAAAGCAACCTGCTACATAGAATCCAAAAGCAAACACTCACAATTTGCCATTCCCAAAGTATGTGAGAAAAACTTGGTACTTGTAGTCTGCACTTAACCCTTAACCAAGGGTTTTATTTCCCAAAAAACAAACACTTTGCAGTCTTTACCAGTGAAAGACAAGATAAACCATGTTTCCAGCCAAGCCATAAAATATGTACTCTCATATGTAATCACAAAGCCTCCTGATGTTATAGGGTCCCAGCTCTGCACATGGGACAAAGGTGATTAATGCTGGGAGATAGCAGCAGTGGCCAAACCAACGTTTCTTTGCCAGTGGACTCCTCTGCACCTTTGGTGCCACCGTACAGAGAGTCACTGGGGAGGCAGAAGGAACACAGCAGGGCAGTGGCGTGAGGATGCCAGGCTGCTGGCAGGAGAAGCCCTTACATGCTACTTGCAGGAAAAACAGCAGCTAAAGGCTGGGATGGAGAGCCTGCCTAGGGACTGGGACTGTTTCTGGGACATACGACCTATGGTAATGCATTTTTAGCATCACCTCAGTATCTGTGGCTTTGAACTTCCTCAGGAAATTGGTCAGAATCATTGACACTTAAAATCAGCTTCCTGGGGCAGCAGGAAAGCTTTTTTCTGCTCACTACTGCCTAAAGAACAGGTTCCTGAAGGCATTGTTGTAGTTTTTGTTGAAAGCAGTGTAGATGAGTGGATTAAAAAAGGAATTTGAATAGCCCAGCCATAGAAAAATGCTCTTCCAAATGGGTGGGATGTCACATGAGCAGAGTGGGTTGATGAGCTCTGTGATGAAGAAGGGGATCCAGCAGAGCACGAAGACCCCAATAAGGATGCCCACCATGAGGGCAGCTTTCTTTTCCTTCTGCTCTCTCCACGTCTCTCCATCCGTCTGGAACGTAACAGTGGCGTGACGGACAGTGAAGACCATCTGTGGCTGCTGGGCAGCTTCTTTCACCTGCCAAACACAAACACAAGTTGCACCATATGTACCCCAGTCAGGCGATCCCACACAGCAGGTACAAAGCCCAACAGTGCAAGCGAGGGCCAGGGCTCCAGGGGAAACACAGGCCATGCACACCACACCCTAACTGAGGGCAAGGTGGCTGTACAACCTCTTCTGGGTGATGGAGACTATTTCAAGTGAGATTAGAAATGAGAGAGAGTACTGAGGGTACCTGGGGTTGCTCACACAACAGCACAATAAGATTACTTCCTCACTTACAATCTGATCAGCAGAGTAGGCACACACCCACATGCTGTGCACAGAAGTCTGCTTACTTTCTCTAAACCCATTGAGTTTAAGAGTTCTTGGTAGGAGAGGAAAGAAAATTGGCAAACATTTGCTTCTTCCCTGAAAGAAATCTTTACAGTGCAGAGTCACCGTGCCTGGGATGAGCTGACACGATGCAGTCATGATTAGGAAAGATTTCCAAGGACATTCTGCAGCACAAGTGCTTTCTGTCTGGGTAAATTCACAGTGTCCCCAAAGCCACAGCTGGTTGCCAGGGCATCGTCCCCAGCAGACACAACTGCCCATCCATCCCCTGTCCCCTTGAGTCCCCAGGGGAGGGACAGTGACCCCTTACTCATGCTGGCGAGCACTGATTCAGCATTCCATGGGGGACATCTGTGAGTCACTGCTCACCCACGTGCAGCTCAAGCTCGCAATATGTCCCAAAGTTGCTTTGCTACACCTTGAGTGCTCACAGCTGGAGGCTCGGAAGGAGCCGACAGACTGGGTTTGCAAGCTTTGCAGTCAGCATTCCCTTAGATGCCTCCAGGATCCACAGGGCTTTGGTGGATCACTGTTCACTTGCACACTTTTGGTTTAAGTTTGCCCCACTTCTACAAAGGCTTGCCTGCTGCCAGTGCTTGACCCGGGCAAAACACAACCAAGCTGACCTACCTCCACTGCTTCTGGTGTAATGGGGGTGATGGAATTGCTCTTGCGCGATCCGATTCGAAACTTGGCAGCCCTGTAGATCTTCCAGTACACGAAGAGCACCACGCAGAGGGGCAGGTAGAAAGCCCCAAAGGTGGAGAAGATAGTGTAGGAAGGCTCCTGGCTGACTTGGCACTCTTCACTGTCCTCTGAATAAGTCTCTCCCCAGCCAAAGAGCAGCGGGGCCAGAGAGATGAAGGCAGAGAGCGCCCAGGTGAGGGCAATCATGATGTTGGAGATGCGGCGCCGGGTGCGGAGCGTGTACTCCAGGTGGCGGGTGATGGACCAGTAGCGGTCGAGGGCAATGGCCGTGACGTTCCAGATGCTGGCAGTGCAGCACAGCACATCGAAGGAGATCCACACCTGGCAGAGCGACCGGCCCAGCCGCCACCGCCGCCCGGACAACTCGTGCACCAAGCTGAGGGGCATGACGAGGGCTGCCACCATCACGTCAGAGACAGCCATGGAGGCCACCAGGTTGTGGGGCACCCGGTGGAAACTGCGCACGCGGAGGATGGTGGCCAGGACCAGCCCGTTCCAGAGGAACGTGGCCACCACCAGCATGACCAACAGGGTGAGAACCAACACGCTGAAGACGGAGAGCTGGGCCTGGCCGCCCTCGGGGCCGGCGGAGGACCCGCTCCTGTTGCCGCTGTCCGGCGTCGTATCGGCGAGGCAGCTGAGGTTGAGCGGGCGCTCCATGCCGGGGCTGCGGGGCTCCTCCGGGCTGCGGCGGCGGCGGGAGGCGCTGCGCCGCCCGCGCCGGGAGCGGGGAAGCGCCGCCCTACCGCGGGCGCGGGGGGTCCCCGGCCGCCCCGAGCGCCGCCGGGCGCGGGGGCTCCGGGCTGGCGGCCGCCGGGGGCTTCATCCCCGGCAGGAACAGCCCTGCGTCAGCCGCGGCTGGCGGCGGCCCCCGGCGGGAGGCGGCGGCTCCGCGGGCGCGGGGGGTGCGCGGCGGGCGCGGGGCGGCTGCGGGGCGGCGCGGAGCGGCGGAGCGGGCGGCGCTGGCGGCGCGGAGCGGAGGAGCGGGGCGCAGGAGCGGCGGCCCCGGCGGAGGAGCCGCGCCGCGGGCTGGCGGGGCCGGGGCGGGCAGGTGAGTCCGCGGCGTGCGCGGGTGCGGAGCGGGCAGCCCCGGCGGGAGCGGCGCGGAGGGAGAGGCGCTGCTTAGTCATGTCCGTGCGCGGGTCGGGACCGGCCCCGGGCCGAGCGGGAGGGCGCAGCCGCCGGCCCCTGCCCCAGCCCGCTGTCCCTGCCCGCTGCCCATCCCCTGCCCGCCCCCGGCCCCTGCCCCAGCCCGCTGTCCCTGCCCGCTGCCCATCCCCTGCCCGCCCCCGGCCCCTGCCCCAGCCCGCTGCCCGCTGTCCTTGCCCTGCCCGCTGCCCATCCCCTGCCCGCACCGTGCGGGAATCAGCCCCGGCTTTGTCTCGGGGTGGTTTCGCCCCCTCCGGGCGTATTCCGTGCCAGCCGCAGAAAGTTAGCATCCCTGGGAAATTGTCCCTGGGCTCCTCTAAAAATGTGTTAGTGAGGCGCCGCGGGAATTTCCTTGCTCCCACATAGGCTACGGTCTGCACCCAGGAAACCTGTTAGTAACCCTGGTTATTCTGTGCAGGGGTAATGTGGCAGGGGATTATTTCTTTGCGAACTTCTGTGCTGCTATTTCCTAACTTGTTAGCAATTGTCGGGGCTTTTATTAGAGATAATAATTCACTTGACTGCTCTCAGTAGCTGTCTATTTAATAACATTAGCCATTAATGAAATGTGTGAGCATTTCCCCTGGTTTTTAGCACAGTAATTGTTATGAGTAGTGGGATTCTGGGCTTCATAGCAGAAGTCAGAATCTAACCCCATCAAGCAGGATTCCCTATGCCCCAGCTCCATGCAGAGATGCCAGCCAGCTCCAGCCCACAAGCCCTGGATGGCATCCAGGCAGGGCTGCACTGGTGCTGGCACTGGCACTCTGCTCCTCCAGCCAGTCCTGAGATAACAGGACCAAAGAGCTATTGGGTCAGACATGTGAGGTGAGAAACCACAGGCACTAACGTGGGGCTCACCGTTTGCATCTCTTGGGGCTGAAGGAAGGAAGGAAGGACATTTACGTTAAGATCAAGTGACAATGACATTTGCTGGTGAACTGCAGTTTGAGAGAGTTGGGGAGAAGACACAGACAGAGCTGTTCAGAGAGTGCCCCATGCATTCCATAGCCGTGGTATACGGAGGGTAAAGCCAAACTGGTGCTTCCTTCTGCCTCTCCTGAATCTCTCTGGAATTTTTAATGAAAACAGCAAGTAACAATAACAAAGGGTAATGAACAAGATATTTTCCACTGCTGCTGCTTGTTCCTCCGTGCTACCAAGGGAAATGCAAAGCAGCATATCCAAAACAGGTCCAGGACCTGTTCTAGTGGGATGGGATTTTCCCCATATGAATTGATTCAGTGCTGTGCTACTCTTTCTCAGAACCAGGGATCCTATTGCAGTACTGGAACAAATGCAGCCTTAGAGACTATATCATCCTTTTGGAAACAAACTGCCATCTTTTGGGGGGAGAAATTATTATTTTATCTTTTATACACAAGAATACTGACAATTTTGGAACGAGTAGGTCCTTTACTTACAACTCAAAGGACAAATAGGGTTTGCAGCCTTTCATAAAGCCTCTTGATTTAAAATTCTTGGTTTGTAAGGTGCAAAACATCATTGACTGTCATTATATTGATCAAAACACTTAGCAGTTCCAAGGCTGAGAGCTTTTTGTTGTGTGGGCTCTTCCCAGAAAAAAACCTATGACCCAGAATTAATAGAATCAACCACAAATTATAAAATATGTGCTCCTGAAAATATATTATTATTCTTTGTTTCAGCAACAAATAGACAAAAATTATATTTAAAGAGAGATGAAAAGTAAATGTATTAAATCTAAAGAAGTAAAACTAGATTATGTTCTCATGAAAAATCATTAATACATTCATTATTTTATTTATTTGACTTTAAAAAATATGTATTGGCAGATGCTGGAGCTGAATGGGTCAGTTGAGAAGTGAAGGGAAATACATAATGTAGACAAATATAAAAATATGTCTATGGAAATACAAAGGTCTGCACCTGGGATGGAAAAGACCTGTACAGGTTGGGGACTGATGGGGCAGAGAATTTTATTGACAGGACCTGATGAGTCTCTTGGACACATCCTGGAGCTGGAGCATCCTGGCCTATATGAGCAAGATTGTGCCCATCAGGTTTGGGGTTATAACCATTTCCCTCTATCCAACAAACCTGGGAATTTCATGTCCTCTTTGGAGTTCCTCACCAGGAGAAGTCCAGTCATAGGTAATCAAGGTGATGAGCAGACTCATGTATGAAGTCTAAAGACAAAAAGAAATGAGCTTTTCACTCCTAAAAAGAGAAATTTAAGGGGAAAATCTTACTGCTGTCTCCAGTTACCTCAGGGGTGGGCATAGAAAAGGTAAAAGCAAACTCTCCTTAGAGGTGCACAGCGATCAGAGGGGATGCAATGAGCGGGAGTCACAACATCAGCTGCTGACTTGGGAGTGTTGGTTGATGAGGAGCTCAACATGAGCTGGCAATGTGCACAGGCAGCCCAGAAAGCCACCCATGTCCTGGGCTGCTCCACAGGCAGCGTGACCAGCAGCTGGAGAGAGAATTCTGCCTCTCTGCTCCAGCTGTGTGGGACCCCACCTGCACTGCTGTATCCAGCTCTGGGGCCCCAGTGTGAGAAGGACATGGAGCTGTTGGAGAAATCCAGCAGAGGAGGGTCATGGAGATTACCCAGGCACTGGAGCACCTCTGCTGTGAAGGCAGGCTGGGAGAATGAGGGTTGTTCAGCCTGGAGAAGAGAAAGCTCTGGGGAGGCCATGTAGCACTTTGCAGCACCTAAAGGGGCTTCAAGAGAGCTGGAGAGAGACTTTTTAAAAGGGCATGGAATGATAGAACAAGAGGTAGCATTAAGATGATGGAGGGTAGGTTTAGATTGGATTAGGCTAGCATTAAATTGGAAGAAATTAATTCCTGTGAGGGTGGTGAGACACTGGAACAGGTTGCTCAGAGAAGCTGTGGATGCCCCATACCTGAAAGTGTTCAAGGACAGGTTGGATGGGGCTCTGGTCTAGTGGAAAGAGTGGTTGGAACAAGATGATGTCTCGGGTTCCTTTCTGCCTAAATCATTCTGTGATTCTAAATTCTAGTTAGAAACTAAGAAATAAATATTGACCTGGAGAATGGTCTGAAATCACTTAAAGCAGCTGTGAAATCTCCAACCTTAGCAATGTCCAATATTCAGCTGGACATCACTGTGAATGACCTGATCTGACTTTGGAGTTATCCCCTCTTCAGTGGGGGTTGGACCAGGTGATCTCCAGAGGTCCCTTCCAGCCTGCATAATTCCACAATTCTGATCCTGCATCCTTTAGGTGTGTTGGCTGAATGCACCAGATTCTGGAAGTGACTAAATATTGTTGTTTTTAAAGACAAAATGTTGTTGTTTTAAGGACACAATGCTATTTACTTTACACAGATTAGTAAAACCATTCATTTTCTCAGAACTGTTGATATTAAGTGAGCAGAAGGCAAAGATCTTTAGCAAGTGGATAATGCTTGTGGAATGATCACATCTGTGAAAGTCTCTGAGAAAAAGACCTATGTTACAAAGTCAGTATTACCTCACATCTTCGCTGATGGAGCCAGAGGAATAAAAAGTGACAGGGCTTCCCTGGGTTTAGCAGCATCCACTCCAGTAAAAACATTAAATTATGCTTGCTACTAAATGCCATTTATTGGAGGTACCTTCCAATTCAAAATATGTATCAGATGGTTGGAGGCTAGGAGGGAATTCACAATGTAATCAGTGCCACTGCCTAAATGCACATCCAACTATTAGCTGCTCCTGGGAAAAGGGTGAATGGATTTATGTTGTTAATCTCTATGGAGATCTTTTGAACCCCTGCCCTTATAACTGGCAGAAAAGGGAGAGGAGAAGGCTCAGGAGGAATTTTTGCTGGGCATGCTCAATGAATCAATGAGAATTGCAGTCTCCAGAGTAGGTGGAGCTGCTAGGTTATACAAGGATTAAAGGAACACATATTCTCACTGTGTATATACACCACTACTGAAAGCTGTGCTCAGTTGCCAGCCAGACTGCTCAATAAGTGTTGCATCCTGTCACAGCAATTTCTAAGCCTCAGGTATTCATCACTTGAATTGCATTTAACTTTCAACCAGCCTCGGTCCAGTTTCACACCACACCCAGCCATGCTTTTTAGCACATTGCAGGCCACCCACTCCCCTCCTATTGCAAAATGGTCAAACATGCCACAGGGAGAATGCACAGACTGAGAGGTTATTCTCATACCCTCAGAGCCCATCCTCAGCTCTGATGTCACTCTAGTCTTCTGAAACCAGGGCATAGAATCATAGAATAGTCTGGGTTGGAAGGGAAATTAAAGATCATCTAGTTCCAACCAAGGCAACCAAGGTTCAAAGCATCAAGGCTCAGGATTGAGCTATGGCTGTATCATGGCTACGAGCTTGGCTCATGATGCCTCACAGCTCACGTAAACATTTCCACAGCCATGCAGCTGACTGCCCTGGGCAGCTCTCTCTTGGGTTTCTGGTGCTGCAGCTGGTTAATAATCACATATTTACTCGAGCTTGGACTTTCTTGAGTTTTTCTCACATGCCAGCCAAGGGCCAGAGTTGGAGTCAGCCTTTCTCTCCCAGTAACACGTAATTACTCACTTC